GTGCTTCTACATCCATTGAAGTTCCCCAGATTACCCGCAAATCAAGAGAAGCTCATCTCTGATGACCTTATGGGAGAAGATGTAGTTCTAACTATATGAATTAATTGGTTTGATAGATAACTCTCCATAGGTTACAGATTGGATTTTCACATAGCCCAGCATGTTGTTTTGTTCACAAAGTATGCAGTATCGAATACCAATAAGAAACAATGTGAATATTGGAAAATAATGCACTAGTGTGAGTATGAGAGTAGAGATGGACAGTCTATATCCAATATACGTATTTTTAACTTACCTGCTTATCTGTGTGGCTCATTTGGCTAGTATCTTTCACTTATCCTTTGTATTTATGGTGTTTTATTTCTAGAGGAGTTATGAACCACTGATGCTAAGAAAAGAAAGTTATTCAGACTTTTCCCACAAGCATCTGCCTTTATCCCTGCTGGATTTCCTTGACTTTCACCAGGCTCCTTAAATAAAACCACTATACTTACAAATTTCTTTTTTTTTTTTGTAATCACCTGACCCCAAAGATGGCCCTCTGGTTCCCCTTCTCGGTCCATCAAGTGCACTTTGAAAGCCTTGGGGTAAAATTGTGGTAGCTGAAAACACTTAAAGACTTTCTGGTTTCGCTTTGGTGTCTCTTTCTACCTCATTTTATAGCATCATTTTTTATGAATAATTTTCTTCATCCAGCTAGGTAAGCTGCACGGCACCAGATCATCTGTTTATTCTAAACTTTTTATCTGCAGAGCAACATAAGAGACAGGACCTCATTTACTTCTTGCTCTGCCACCCCAAATTTCTTGTCATGCCTTGAATGGGCAAATTAATGTTTCCATCCAGCAAAAAGCTTTCACCAATGTTGCTGGAAAATCTTCACAATTGTCTTTTCTGTCTTCGAAAAGTCAATAACTTTCTTGATTGCTTTCAAATAACTCATAACAACTGTTTGAAGGGTGTTCACCTATGAGCTCTTGAAATGAAATCAGGTGTTCCTTGAGGTGGAAAATGTATGGCATGCCTAATTTTAAGTCATTTCCCCATGGAAAACAAGGTCTTTCTAGACTGTTCAGGAGAGTATCAGTTTAGTGCTGACTAAATGCATGAATAAGGCAGGAGGATACTGGTTGTACAAACCACGAGAAAATCAGACCTAAATTAGATAAATGGCAAAACATTTATCTGCATTTGTTACAAGTGGGAGAAGAGAAATAATACTCAGCTATGATCTATAGCATAAAATACGTCCAATATTGCCAAATAATTTGTATGCTTAGCATGTTGTGGGTAAATCTTTATCAAATGACATGAAAATCCCTGTTGGCTCACATTGTTTTTTTAATTAGGCAGTCACAACCTTGTTGTCAGTTCAGTCTTTGAAAACATTTTTCCCTTACCTGTCATGGTGGAATGGGAGCTGAGGCAGAACCTCCAGTTTCTAATGTTTGCACAGTCTGTGAATGAGAGCCCAGATGGTGTGCTCCAGCCCAGAGAACAGTTCCTGATCTCTGTGCAAAACCAGTCATCGTCTGTAATTAAGTTACATGTTCACAGTGTGATGGCATGTTGAGTTACTTTAACTTCATTAGATGTGTCATTATATTGTTTGAAGAATGTGAAGAATTGAAAATCAGTGGACTCTGCAATGATCTTGAGAAACCCAAATTTTCATGTCTTCCTATTTGTTTATTTGCTCTTCTGATACAGCTAAAACTAATGGTGAGTGTTGAATCTCGCAGCTAGCCCAGATGTGCCAAAAAGGCAGTATAAAATGAAATGGATACAATAAAGAAAAAAATAACTGTTAACTAGTAAAATTCTTCGGATCAAACCATGACCTGAAAATACAGAGACCTCTACAAAATAAATTCCTACAGAGGTTCCCTTGGGATATGAAGGAGAACATGCTTGATTAAGCTGGTACTAACCTTTCACAATCACACTTCTCTGATATTTATTCCTTGAAATAATAAAAAGGGACATGTCAGCTATGGGAAAGCCATAATGTACTTCATTGCTTGCTGCTGTTCTTTTCTAACTTGAGTGTTCTTCTCCTAGAGCAAACTTAAAATAAAGTAAGCCCTCCATTCGTTCTTTTTGTTGACCTTTATCTTGTAGTGGCTCTCCATTTGCACAGTCAAATGACATGGTAAGAAATTTTCCATCCTTTTTTAGCTCTGTCAGAGGGCTTTCATCTTCTCAGTAACCAATGGTAGAACACAAAATCTTTACAGGTATACAAAGGCAGATCTGGAGAAAAGAAAATCCATCCTTGTCTGTAGAGCCTCTGCTCTGCTGAATGTTTCGCTACATGTGAATGTGAAAGAAGTAAAAGGTCCTAAGGAAGGAAATCTTTTCTTTTCTTTGTAATAATTTTTAAATTCTTTCCACAGTCACATATTGCTCTGCTTCTCCTAAAAGTACATAGTTTTGTTTAATTTCCCCCCAGATTGCTCCCATGGTGATAATGGAGGAGTTTTCTCCCTAGGCACCTCTGTGATGTTTGTATTGGGAATTGCATGTTCTATACTCTCTTAATGAACAGAGGCAGGAATTTAATAACATAAGAGTTTAAAAGTGCATGGGGTTTCTTGGAAGGAAAGCTTTTTCTTTCAGCTCCCTTCAGTGTTTGCATTTACTGAAAATTTTGTATGGGTTTATATGGAAGGCAGATCACGTGGATGTGAAACCTGGTTATCAATCACAGCTAAACACAACTCATTTTTCATTTCATTGGGATCACTGCATCATTTTAAACAGTCCAGGAAAAATAGTACCAAGGTAGTACACTGGGAGATAGGTTTTTCACCTACATTTGATACTGATAAAAATAATTTCCTTCTCTATATTGTAGATGTGATGTTAAATGATTCAGCTTAAACTCATGACTGATCACCCGTTTTCAGTTTTTTCAGTCTCCATAAACATGCCAAATAGATACTGTAAGTCATTAAACAGGAAACAGCTTCTTCTGTATATGTAGACTTAGTATCATGTGCCTTAAAAGTAATATCAAATAGAATATCTGAGTTACAGAGGCATAAAATAAGAGAACAACCATTATTTTTCTAGATCTCTTTGAATGATACAAACAGAGAATGAAGCAATTGACATACCTTTAAAATCCTACCTGTAGTCTCTGTAATAAAAATCTTTATACAGAATATAATCATTCTGTAGATTGCTTTTTAAATTGCATTCCATGTTATTTCTTGCTTCTTGTCCTAATATTGTTAAACATAAATTTGAAAAGTCCCTCAAGTGGAAAATTGATTTTTGTCTTATGTTGACCCCTATTTTGTTCTGATTTTGCATTGTATTTTCACATAGCAAAGTAGTATGGTATTTTAGATAAGTGTTTTTGTTAACTAACCAACAATTGCTGCTCCTTCCCTAGCAGCCGCAGTCTGCTGGCAGGGCAAACCGCTGCTGTGACAGCAGCTGTGAATCTGTCCTGTTCATCTCATAGAAAACATAGAGCTAGGAAATGTAAGACATTGTAATAACAGCTGAAGGTGTGCTTTTGAGAGAAATATTCACCTAGTTGGTTGGAATTAGGGAAGTGAAATATGCAATTCTTATGATGGTGACAGAGTTACAGACATGGTTTGTGTTAATAAAAATCAGTGTAGCGTAATATATTCATCAGTGAAATAACACAACTACAGAGAACTGTTCTAAACTAGAGTCTGTTGTACGCATAGGCATAGGAATGTTGAAGTGCTGACCTGTAATGACAATTTTACATCATATGCAATATTCACAAATGATGTTAAACGAAAAGCACTTGAAAGATTACTTATTTCTTGTGTGGTACATGCTAGGAGGTGTTTGGCTGTGAAATGTACGTTCATGTGCAACAGAAGGAAACACAAAGTTTTCAGCTGGTCGTTTCTTTCTTTTTTTATTGTTTCTTTGTTTACATGGCAGTGTTTGAATCCAGCTAATTTGGGGCAGGAAAATCAAGTCACTTGGAATAAAGAATTATTTAATCTCTTCCACAACTATTTCTAACTAAATTTTTTCTAACTTTTCCTGACTTCAGGGTTGTTTTCACCATATAATTACAATCTTTTCATCGTTTTGATCACAGTTTGATGTTAGTTGCTGGATTTTTCACTAACATTCACAATTATATGAAAAAGATTCATGCAATATGGGTGTGAACTTTACCAAAATGTTTGGTCAAAACTCCTTTTGTAAACTATTTTGCTAGCAAAGAGTTTATGAGAGGAAAAGCTCCATTTTTAGTATTTAAGTGTTTTAGTATTTAGTTTTGTCCAACTCCTAGGAGCCATTGTTTGAATTTAATTCCATCTCAGCCATTTAATGTGGATGCTGGCAGCTTGCTGGTTTTCTCTGGAGTGACATCCTGTTAGTTCTTCATCGGGCATCAATGGGCCTTGTGACTCGAGTGGAGCACGAACTTTAGTGAACTTAGGAGCAGCAGTGAACTCAATACATAGGGATAATAAATGGAGTTCTGTGGAGTTTTATCAAATTCAACCAAGTTGGGTGAGCCCACGGAGGTAAAGCACCTCTCAGATAGTAGGTTTAGAAGTAAAAGAGCTGCTTCATTTCTGTACAGCATGTGTATTGGAATTTAGTTCCACTGTGACTGAAACTTGCTATGAATTTATTGGGTCAAAGTCTGATGACTCTAAAGCTGAAGATGAGATGTTTAACATTGAGTGGTTCCCTCTGAGGAGCTTGTGCTTCCTCACTAAGTACTGAATTCAATTGTCTTCATGTGACAAACCTATTGGAAATACCTTCCATAAATAATAAATTGTCACTCTTTGGTAAATATTTTAATTAGCTGTGGAACTCACAATCAGCCTTGCTTATTAATGATCTGAATATGACAGAGCACAGTAAGTTCTTTAAACGCAACAGAAGTTTGGTAGCTGTGGTGGAGTTAAGAGTTAGAAGTAGAGATGCACTTCTTTTTAGGTTTGTCCAGAAGTTGTAATCTTTCGATGTATTTTGTATTCTAGGATGTGATGTCAACATTCTTCCAATTTGGGGCTTCTATCCAGCAGGAAGCCATCGTCATGCTTAAGATCATGCAGGATTATGACTGGCACGTGTTTTCTCTGGTAACCACCACCTTCCCTGGATATCGAGACTTCATCAATGTCATTAAGACCACAGTGGAAAATAGTTTTGTGGGATGGGACATGCAGAACATCATCATTCTTGATACTGCCTTTGGAGATGCCAAGACACAAATTCAGCTGAAGAAAATTCATTCATCTGTCATCCTGCTCTATTGTTCCAAGGATGAAGCTGTCTACATACTAGATGAGGCTCGCTCACTGGGCCTTACTGGGTATGATTTCTTTTGGATAGTTCCAAGCCTGGTTAGTGGTAACACAGAAATTACCCCCAAGGAATTTCCTTCGGGACTCATTTCAGCATCTTATGACGAATGGGACTACAGTTTAGAAGCTCGGGTGCGGGATGGCCTTGGGATTATTGCCACTGCTGCATCAGCCATGCTGGAAAAGTACTCCTTCATTCCTGAAGCAAAAACTAGCTGCTATGGTCAACTGGAGAAAAACGACCGGCCATCTCACACTTTGCACCAGTAAGGTTTATTGTCTTTTTTTTTTTTTTTCTATGTAACCTTGGTAGTTTTCCATTATAGTTGTATTATATGTCTCTTGAAGGAGAAAAATAGTTTTTGATAATGCCATCACACCCCTATTGAACAATGAATTTCAGATGTTCCAAGGGAATGTGCAGTAAGAACTGCTACATTGCTAACTGTACAGAGAAATGATATGTGCTGTTGAGAATAAGCACTGAGTCTGATGTAGAAAGCAACAGAAATTGATTTTAGGTGGTGGTATGAAATTAAGTTAATAAAATAGTGCCATTGCATACCTGAACTGTGAGGTACATTACCAAAAAGCTATTGAAGAGATTGCCTTTGTTACTGGGAATCTCGTTTGCATCAGCAGGAAGATGGTAATGTTTCAGAAGAAAAGATGTGTAATGTTAAGTAGGTGATCGTGGATATTATAGAAGCATTCGATTAGTTATCCAGCTTTTACTACCTAATAACTGAAATCTGTCATTTCTTCTTGTGAGCATTTCATTTTTGTCACTTCCTCTAGAATAACTGTAAAACTTCATCTGCACAATCCAAGTTGGTATGGATGTTTTCTCAGAGCAGTTTGTCATATGGGAACTGATAAGGTTTAAATCAGGATTCTTTGTTATTTATTTATTAATTTTGTCCTTTTATTTATCCCCTTTGGATGTGATACTCATTACTTGTATCCCAAATGTTGCATAATATTTGCCACACAGAAACAATTTTTTTTTAGCTGATTTTTGAGAGGAAGTAAAAGGAATCTTGCATATTTTTATAGCTCTTCACAATCTCTCCTAGGGATATTGCTAAGCAGCATTTATGAAATTTGTTTTGACTGAATATTGCAGATGCAGCTCTTTAAAGGAAAGGAGGTTGGAACTGCAAGAAAAATCAGTGACAGTTTCATATGGGAGTTTATGGGATGTTTTTAATCTTCTGAGATGTATGTGCATATTTAGTTTGGGAGTTGATTGCTGTATGGTGTCCTGGAGTGTTTTTTTTTTTTTCTTAGAAAATGGCAACTTTAAGATACAACATGCTTCAAAAACTTCCTTGTAGGCCAAATAGTGCTGAGTAAATGCATTTTATCACTTCATATATGTAGTGCACAAACAGTAAGGCCAAACTTAAGAAACTGGTCAGCCCTCTTGAGGTATAACTTCCATAGGTAGGTGGAAGTCATACTTTAAGTATGACACAGCCTCCTTTGATATTACATTTCGATTTTTTGTGTGTGTCCCAGCTTTTCTATCTCTAAGCCTCTGCTTCTAAAACTGTCCAAATTCATGGAAGGGATTGCAGAAAATCTGCAACTCTTTCTTTACTACCACTCGTTCCCCAGGAGAATGCCAGTAGGCAGTTTTGTGTTGGCTTGCCATGCTGGCATGGCTCCTGTAGAGCTGCCACCCATGGCAGGAGGCACTGCTGGGAGGACTGTCCTACCCATACCATGTATGCAACCCTCAGATCGTGCACTGGCTGAAATAGATAAAATTTAAAGCAAATGATATCCCCTTAACTATGTTCTGTGCTTTAACAATGTGATCCATGCAAAGAAAGAAGCCCACTATTGATGTTTTAAGTTCTTTTCTGCAAAAAAATTAAGTGGCATTCTGTGTGTTGGTGTTTAAAATACAGTGGCTCAGTTGGACAGGCCATAAGACCTTGAACTCCACAGGTCTGGCAGTTCACAGCTGTGGAGCTGAATTAGGCGTTCAGCATTCAGTGCAAGCTGTCCTCCTTCAAGGTATCATTTTTTTTCTGATGAAAAATTTATGACTGTGAGAATAGGGCTTGTGAGTGATTGGGCAGGGAGATTAGACTTCACCAGGAGATTCTGCAGTGTGCACTGAATGATACACATTCAATGGTGTTTTAACACAGTGCATTTTGGTTAGTAAAGTCTTTTTATGCTGCACAACACTGAGCTGCAAAGTGAAAATATATTTTCTGTACAGGAGGCGCTTTGAGCTTCTCCAGCACTACATGAACAGGAAACAGGTTGGTTTTAATTTAGAAATATTAGTATTACACTAAAATAAATGAAGTTTTAAAAGTGCTCCTTATGTAATAACTCCTCAAAACTATTCTTGTCACATATAAGTGGTAAGAAAAATAAGTTTACATTTAGCACTGCAAAGGTGATCTCCAGGAGCTCACCAGTCATGCCAAGGTGAGTTATGCAGGTTCACTGTACTTTATATTTCTCATCCCTAAATGTTAAGTTTTTTTTTTTTCCTAGATGAAAGGAATCCCCTAAATTGGGATTTTATTCTGAAATGTAACCTTCGTAGTTTCAGGCCACAAAAAGTGCAGCTTTGTATTTTCTACTAAAAGATAAGTGCATAAGACACTGTATTAAGGAACAAACTTGAACAAAGGATTTTGGAATACACTTACAATGGTAAAGGGCTGAAATACTGTAAACAGCTGATGGACCTGGGGCCTGCTGTACTGGGTTGCTGTTTATGCTGGGCATTGCTGGTAGAGAAATGGGGCTGCACAAGGGAGCACCACTTCCCAGCTCAGGGAAAGACCACTCAGTGGAGAGCAGAAAAGTGACTCTATAAGGTGATGCCTAGGCAAAACCAAACTCAAGAGAGCAGAAAATAGCAGAAAATAGGATTTTAAATTCCATCTGTTATAATGACAGTCTAATTCAGCTTTAAACCCAGTATTGTATTCTAGGGCGATGCCATAATAGCTAATTTGCGTGTAAATGGAGATAGGTAATGCTTTATGTGCTGCTTCCCACATCTAGTGAGGTTCATCTCCGCTTCTAAAGAAATTCTTTGTAAAGAAAGCTATGAAGTGAAAGCTCCTCCTCCCTCTTTTTCAAATCTTTTGTGTATTAAATTGGCTTGAAGATATATATGTTTTGAAGCACTCAGTTTATCCTTTCCCTGTCATGGCAATTCTAAAATGCTTTTATTAGCTTTCTAGACCCAGAAAAAATCTGGTTTGCTTTAGTTTTTGGAACGGTCCAATCATTGTTCATTTCTGATACACATGCAAAAATCAGTGTTTCTTAACAAGTAAAGGATTTAAAATAAAATAGGGAAATTTTTTCAACACATTTAAAATATGTTTCTATGTATTTAGATCTTTTGCCATTCATGTAAGACCTACAATCTTCCAATACAGAAAAATACTGTTGTGCAAAATACTGGCAGCAGCACTGCAGGATAGCTAGAATTAGCAGTTCATTACAGCTGTGTCAGTTGAACAAATGCTCGCTCTCTTACAAAAAAAGAAACATCTAAACAAACAGCAAAACAAAATAACCCTATTAGTTGTCATGGAAGATTCTACTGCTGCATGAATAAAATTTCTTCTGCATGGCTTAGTAGAGTACTTGTGTTTAAAAGTCATAACCGGGTTTGGTTATGGTGGGTTATGACTGAAAAAGAACTTGATATGCCTGTCCAGAGGTCAGTTGTTGATCTTGTGTGTAGTTACATCCAGTTTCCAAATACAACGAAAAATATACAGGATTTTGGAGGTCATCTTACTTTTTGTATGGAAGTTGTATGGCTAAAAATCTGCTCTGGGCAGGCTTTGGTTTCGTGTTCTGCCCACACATTGTTTCCATTATTCATTGTCACTTAAGCCAGAGAGCAGCAGCAGTCTGAAGTCCAAAGTGGTTTAGATGATGGCCTATGATAACATTTCATTTTCTTATCCATGCTGTTGTGCTGCTGTTGCAAGTTGCCTATGAAACGTCTGCTCCAGATGATGAGAATGTGCTGTCCCTGAAGTCCTGGTGTTCATTTATCAAGTTCAATATTTCGATGCCAGCTTTTAGCAATGACAGATGCATTTTCCTCTTTTTCTTTCAAGAGAAATCAAGTATTACTTGGATACAATGGTTTGATGGATAATCCAGCATATCTGTTTAATGTTTTCCAATTTTCAGAGATTTGTTCATTTCATTAAATTCTGTCAAAAGACTTGGGGGGAAAAAAAAGGATCATCTGCCTTATAGTCTGTTTGAAGCTGTATTGTTATTTAATTGTATAGGGAGCAAAATGCTTTTTTACTAGTAGAGATGCTTGCAGAAAAACTAAGTGTAATTTCATAGAATCAGAGACTGTTTTGGGTTGGAAGGGATCTTAAGTTATAGAATCTCAGAATCATAGAATGGCTTGGGTTGGAAGGGACCTCAAAGATTGTCTAGTTCCAATCCCTCCATCATGGGCAGGGTTGCCAGCCACTAGATCAGACTGTCCAGGAACTCATCCAGCTTGGCCTTGAACTGCTCCAGGGATGGGGCATCCACAAGTTCTCTGGGCAGCCTGTGCCAGTGCCTTACCACTCTCTGAATGAAGAATTTCTTCCTAATATCTAACCAAAACCTCCCCTTTTTCAGTTTAAATCCAGGGACCGAATGCATCCTTAGCAAGTTTGCTGACATACCAGAAGGCTGTGCTGCAATTCAGTGAGACCTGGACAGACTAGGGAGTTAAGCAAAGATAAAGGAACCTCATGCAGTTCAACCTCATCCAGTCCTACACCTGGGGATGAATAACTGCATGCATCAGCACAGGTTAGGGGCTGACCTTGTGATGAGGAGCTCTGCAGAGAAGGATCTGAGTGTTCTGGACAGCAGGTTGCCCATGAGCCAGTAGTCGCTGTGTGTTCATAGCAGTGCCTGTACATAGAGGGATGATCTGAGAGTGTCACCCAAGCTTCCATAATTGCATATGCTGCTTACTTGGTGTGTAAGGAGATAGCTAATTTGAGTATACTTTCTAATTAGGACTTTGGTATGCAAGGATACACTAAATCTAACTTAGTGCCAGTGAGCATATTTTAAACACTAACAGTTATTTGCACTTCTTTTAATTCATGTGCTGTAAGTGCCCTCTTCAGTAGTTTAAAACTTTTCTGCATGGTGTAGTTCTTTGTAGCTGCATTAAGCAACAGGAACTGAGTTGATGAAACTTGTCATTGTTTCCTTCAAAATAAAACTGAACTTCACCAGCATC